CTGACCCTACTGATTCTTTGGATTTTCGATCTTGCATTTTTTTTTTGCTTTGGCTTCTTGAAGAATCCCCTCAGATTTTCTCGGAGAAAAATTGACGAGGATCGCCGAGGAAAATGTGTCCCTGCGTCGATCGTCGACCTCCGACCGGAGCTTTCTGGACTCCACCGCCGACGTCGAACACGAGAAACAGAGATTACGCGGCGGCGATGCCTTTGTCGGAGAGGAGAAGACCACCGTCGTCGGAGAAACGTGATCCTTTCCACATTGTTCATAAGGTTCCTTCTGGTGATTCTCCTTACGTCAGAGCTAAACACGCTCAGGTATGAATTTTCCCGGGAAAATCAACAAAGGGAAATTTTCTTTTTCTTTGCCCTAATTTTCCAGTTATCTTGATTCTGTGTATATAAGTAAATGATTTGTTCTCTTAATCTGTAACAACAGTTGGTATCGAAAGATCCGAATCGAGCAATATCTTTGTTTTGGGCTGCAATAAACGCTGGAGATCGAGTTGATAGTGCATTGAAGGACATGGCAGTTGTAATGAAACAGTTAAACCGATCCGATGAAGGAATCGAAGCTATCAAATCTTTCCGGTATCTTTGTCCTTTAGAGTCTCAAGACACCATTGATAACTTGCTCCTAGAACTCTACAAGGTAATGAATGAACCAAACACTTATGTTTCTTATGCAACTGTTACAGAGTTTTGGAATGATTCTCTAGTGGTAACGCTTCAAAATGGGTTTTGCGTTTTTCGCAGAAGTCAGGGAGGATCGAGGAAGAAGCTGAATTGCTTGAGCACAAGCTGAAAACACTCGAACAAGAAATGGGATTTGGTGGTAGAATCGTGAGAGCAAAAAGGGTTCAAGGAAAACATGTCACGATGACTATCGAACAAGAATTAGCGAGGTGCGAAAATTATGAGTTCATTTTCGCGCAATATTGAGAATGTTTTTGTCTGTTGAACTGACTTGGAGAGTTTCAATTGTTGGTTTGAACATATTAGGATACTAGGGAACTTGGGGTGGGTTCATTTACAGCTACATAACTATGGAATTGCAGAGCAGCATTACAGGTTTGGTTTTGTTACAAAAGTTACAAAATCCGAAATATTGAAGTTAATTACTTGTTTGATCTTTAGGACTGTTGCTTATATGCAAATTTTATCCATTTGAACAGGAGAGCCTTACGTTTGGAACCAGACAAAAACAAACTGTGCAACCTCGCAATCTGCTTGATGCGTATGGGTCGAATTCCAGAAGCTAAATCTCTGATTAATGATGTAAGAGATTCTTCTGCAGAGACTGAATGCGGAGATGAACCATTCTTGAAGTCTTATGACCGAGCCGTCGAGATGTTAGCAGAAATAGAATCAAAGAAACCAGAAGATGAAATTTCGGATAAGTTCTACGCAGGATGTTCATTTGCGAGAGGAATGATGGAAAACAAAGCTCCCAGAACATGCAATAAGAACTACTCAAATGTTTCTTCTTCTCCAGCGTCTGTTGGACAAAAGTCTGCAGGTCTGTTTACACAACCACGTGGATGCAAATGGAATCAGAGAAAAGGGATGTATGAAGAAGATACAAGAGGTGCAGCTCGAAAGCTAACGTTTGGGAAACCTTTTGGTTCTGAACATGTAAAGATTTTGAAGAGAGGAGAAGAACCTACGAAGGGAAAGATACTGGACCAGAACATGATTCATGGTCTCCATGAATTCATCAAGGATGCTGCAGATTGTACGAAGAGTGGAACTAAGAAAAGCTGGGCAGATATGGCC